GCACCCGCGGTCACGCCCACTTCCCCAGTGCGGGCCCCCCCTGACCGTTTTGATTATTTTGTCCTCTCGGAGGCCCTGGGGCTCTGCTTGAGGAAAGCGAAGGTCACCGATGACCCCCCCCCCTCGCTCCCCATCGCCCTGTCACGTTGCAGTTTCACAGTTCGCTCGGCGACCTCAAGGCTCTCGCCTTCCGCCGCCCCCCCGGCCTTCCTGTTGAGGCTCCTGTGGGACCTGCTCCGTGCCCTGGGGATTGGGACGGTGCTCTGACGCTCGCTCAAGAAGCCTTTGAGGCCATGAATGCTGGGGGCGCGCGTAGGGTTCGCAGACTGCTCAGTCCTGGCTATAATGCGCCGGCGGACTCGGCTGAACGCGACTTGGCGAATGCTCTTGGAGCCGAAGTCTCTACGTTTGGGACCAGGGGGAAAAGACCTCAACTTTATTGGAAGTCTGTTCCGAAGCCTGCGGGCAGAGTCAAGGACCTGCACGTGCGTAGCATTGTGGCTTCTCAACCAGCTACGAGCTGTTCGGTGCTATCATGGAGACTCTGCAGGCTGGAGGTCACCAGGTTGTTGAGGCACTGGAGCATCCTCCTGCCTCGGTGACGGTTGCCGCAGACTCCGAGCGGAGCAACTATTTCGCGTCTGCCGCCAGCTTAGCCCGCGGAGTTCGAACGGACAGCGGCGATCCCGTGGTCCATGCCGATCTCGATTGTTTAATCTCGGGCACGGCGGTTGTTGCTCAGTCTGCTAAGGCGGCGTCTGCTGAGGCCTCGAGGAAGGACTGGAACGACTGGCTCCGCCAGGGGCTCGAAAAAGGGGGGACAAATGCTCAGAAGGCTATCAGAGAGCCGATCGCTTGGGTTCCGACTACCACCGTTTTTCGATGCGGTATTATTGTTGCGGTTCCTGTGAGTCTTCTAAAGGCGGAGCCGGATAAGTTTAGTGACATCTGGCAGCAAGGCAGTGGACTTGCTGACGTCTGCAAAGGTGACGGCAACGGCATATTGCCGCACTCGCCTCTCCTTCAGCCTCCTGAGATTCGTGCTGTTTCTAAGAAGTACAGGCCTGCCTCGGCTGTGAGCTTGGACGGGTTCCATTGCCGACACTTTGCTCTGCTCTCCGACATTGCGCTTCAGGCGATGGCTCTGTGCTTTGCGGTTATGGAAGGCACTGGGCCCCCCTCCCCCCCAGATTGCTTGGGTCCTTTTGGCCCTCCTTAACAAGCCCTCAGGAGGCTTCCGCCCTATCGGTGTCTTCCCAAGCTGGTATCGCGTGTGGGGTCGCTGTAGAAGAGGTGAAGCTCTCAGGTGGGAGCTATCCTTCAAAAGGGACCACTGGGCGGCTGTAGCCTTCCGAGGAGCTGGAGACGCTGTCTGGAGACAGGTCCTTAGGGCCGAAAGTGGGGCCCTTCGGGGCCAGTGCACGGCCTCAGTTTTTTTGGGATTTAAGGAAGCACTATGAGCACATTGATCTCGAGTACGTATGGCAGAAATGTCCTCAACATAGGTTCCCCGCGTGCCTTGTGCGGCTGGTCATCCAGGCGTACTCTGTGGCTCGATACATGGCTCTCCGGGGCATTGTTGAAGGCCCTTTCTTCCCTAAGAGGGGTATTGTGGCGGGGTGTTCCTTTGCCGCGAGTTTGATTCGAGTTTTTGCCATGGAGGCCTTCGATGGCATCCCGCGTGAACCAGGACGTTGCTACTTCGATGCGTACATAGACGACCTCAGTTTGAATGCCACGGGCTCAGCTATGGAGGTCATTGATGTTATTTGTCGTGGAGCTCGGGCTCTGCATGCGGCTGTCGCTCGCACCCTGCAGTGCAAGCAGGCCATGGACAAGATTGGCATGGTTAGCAACAGCAGTTTGTTGCTCACAGGTTGGAAGAGTCCCTTGGCAGTTTGGTTGGCACAGCTTGCATGAGGGTCACCAACCTCGGCTCGGACTTCACTGCTGGTAGGCCGGTGCGAGCAGGGAAAGGCAGGTCTGCTAAAATGAAGGCCCGTGCTGCTGCTGCTTTGCGCAAAACCCGGCGTCTGCAAGGCCTTGGTGAGGCCCTCGGCCGAAAGGCCCTTCGGGTTTTTGCCGCGGGTCCCCTGGCTGTAGCCGTGTACGGCTCGGACCTCTACGGGGTCTCGGATTCGGAGCTGCTTAGCTTGCGCAGGATGGCTATGTCCTGCATCAAGCCGAGAGCTCAGGGCAGGCCCTTACACGTTCTTTCCTTGCTCGAAGGAGATCCGACTTGGAGGGGCAGCTGTGCCCCTATCATTCGTTGGGCCGAAGAAATCTGGATTTTGAGAACAAGCGCCTTCCCCTGGTCGCTCTCGTGGGCTGAAATGCGCGAGGCGTGGAACGCGGTGTTCTCTTCGGACAACTGGTCTTGGGCCAAGGTCCGAGGTCCTATCTCGGCCCTGAGGATGACCCTTTATAGGTTGGGGTGGACCATGCCTGATTTTTGCACCATCGTCGACGACTTTGGTCGCGAAGTCTCCCTCACTCTCTCCAGCCCTAAGCTTATCAAGGTTTTTTGTAAGGAAGCCGTCTTTCGCTCTCTGGAGAGGCTCTCTGGAGACAAGTACGGTGTGGGGGCTCGGCTTTGTTTGGGACGTTGCCAAGAATATCTTGGGGTCCAAAAAGATTGGGGCTAAGACTAAGGGTTGGGTCAGAGTCTTAGCGACCAAGGCATGTTGGACGGCAGGTGATGTGGCGTCTGTAGCTTATTTATGTCCTGATCGGTGTCAGCTTTGTGACGCAGCTAGAGACACTCTTGTTCACCGTCTCTATGAATGCCCTGCTGTTCAGCAGGAACGCGATGAAGTTCTTCCTTTATGGCTTCAAGAGGAAGCCCGCCCTGCTGGCCCATATTCTGAGGATGCAGTGTTATTCCTGCATGGGGCTCTGAGGCATCCAGGAGATCTCGGTCCTCCTCCTGCTACGAGTACTGGTGTCGTCTATGACTGGTACACGGAGCGGCTGCCTGACCCGTCAGATGTTGCTGCTCCTCCCTCCATTCTTCCTACCGATGGGATCTGGGGGCACCTGTTCATGGACGGCTCGTGCCGCCGCCACACTGTTAGGGAGCTGTCTAGGGCTGGTTGGGCCGTGGTCATGGTCTCTCAGGCTGGGGAGCGCCTCGGGGTCTTCAAAAGTCCTCTTTGGGCTCCTTGGCCTCAGACCCCCCAAGGCTTTGATTGTGGGGCCCTGGCCTGGACTGGGCTTTATTCTGAAGGCCCCTCTGACTGCTATTCAGACTGTAGCAATGTGGTGACTTTAATGAATCTCGGAGAGGCGGACGCCATCTCTGGGAAGCGTTAGTACGCTGGCCTTGTCATTCAAGCGCGCCAGCACTTCGGGGCGAATGTTTTTTCTTTTGCTAAGGTGGCAGCTCACCGTGACCTCGATGAAGAGGGGCTCAGTGCGCGAGAGAGGTTCTTGTGCCTTGGGAACCACTACGCCGACGTCGCGGCTCAGGAAGCTGTTCTGATTCACCCTAGCTGGTCCCCCTCTGAAGAGGACCTGCAGAGACGGCTGAAGATTGCCCGTATTGTTTTGCTGGCAGGAGCGGAGCTCATGCCACTGTGGCCCAAGCTTGAGTTCAGAGGTCTAGAGCGCGCCCCTAAGCCCCAGTCCTCGGACGTTCCTTTGCTTGAAGTTTGCCGCGACTGGACCAAGCAGGGAAACACTTGGCGTTGTAGAGTCTGCCTTCGTGGTTCCCGCGCCCCGTCCACACCGTTTGGTGGTGTGTGCCCTGGGACCTGCCCTTTGGACCAAGGGGTCCTTGAGTCCAATGGGCACCGAGTCATGGCGTTTCCTTGCAGTGACAAGAGTCATTTTTTGTGCATGACATGCAAGTTATACAGCAGTGGAGGTCAAGTGATAGGCCTGGGTCGCAAATGCGGTCACACGACGGAGTCTGGCTTGAAGAATATTCGCAGGCTCCGCAAAGGCCTACACCCTGACAAGAAGGGTGTGTTTGTCGACATTGATGAATTCGTCCCCCTGCTGTGATTTACAGGTGAATTCTTCTGTTGCATCAGTTCTCCTCTGGCTGTTGTTGCAGTTCACTGTTCAAGGGGATGTGCGTTGCTGCCAAAAAAAGAAAGGCGGACGAAAAAGGAAGTGACGCGCGAGGAGGAGGATGGCACAAGAAGGAGTTAGCGGAGGACGACGGAGCGGCAGGTCGACCATCGGCATTCTGCCCCCGTTCTCCTCACCGACTTCTTCCCTCCAAAAGTCCCAGAGAGGGGCGGCCTTCGAAGCCCAACGAGTGCCGAGGACGTTCAAAAACCTCCACTTCCCTCCCGCCTTTTTGTTCCCTCCTGGTGTTGGCGCCGCTGGGCCTCCTCCTTGACGATCTTGACCCTTTCTCTGGGACTGGCTTGTCCTTCCCGCGCCGCGTCGTTGTTTCAGGGCCCTGGGACCCGAAACGGGCCTGTGGAGGCCCGAATCGAGAAAGACTGGCGGTCACGACGTTCCCCGCGATGCCAGATCTGACGGTCCGCCTCCTCTTGGCGCTCCTCGCCCCCCCTCTTCGAGGAGAAACCCGAGCGCGCGCTTCGACTCGAAGACGACGACAAGCGATAGCGACCGCCGCTGAGGATTGCCGACGACAGACAACGACGTCCGACGACGTCTGGCGACTACGACCGACGACGATTGGCGACAAGTGGATACGACCGACGACGACCGACGACGACGGCGAAGGGCGACGACGCCAACGACGACGACGACGACGACGACGGCAAAAGACGAAGAGGACGAACGACGAACGACGGCGGCGGCGGTAGCGGACGACGGCGGACGACGACGACGACCGAGCTGGGGGCGTCGCCCTTGGCGGCGCCGCCGCCATTGTTCATCGTCGCCGTCGTCGTCGCCGTCGTCGTCGGTCGTTGTCGTCGTCGTCGTCGTCGTCGTCGTCGTCGTCGTCGTCGTCGTCGTTATGTTTTGCCGTCGATCGTCGTTGATCGTCGTCGCCATCGGCACCGCCGCCCCCCCCGGAGGAGAAGCACGAGCGCGCCTCGACGGCGACGACGGCGCCGCCCGCTTCGACGGTGACGACGGCGGCGGCCACGCCGGCCGTCCCGCCGCCCGGGCCGCCTGCCACGGGAGCGGCCGTCGCGGGCATGAGCGCGCCCGACAGCCCGAGGCGTCGCCGGCTCGACGACGACGATGCTTTCGACGGCGTCGACGGCGCGGGCGACATTGACGACGTCGGCGTTGACGAAGTTTACGATGGTGACGATGCTGACGACGAAGTTGACGACGTTGTTGACGACGTTGTTGACGACGGCGGCGACGACGGCGACGAATACGATGAGGATCGACGGTCTAGGCTGTTGGACGTTTCTGGTCCCTGTTTGGCCTCCAGCCGGGGGCCTCAGCAGAGCTCCAGAGAGGTCCCCGTTTCCCGGGTGCTTCCATGCATCTATAGATCTTTCTCAAGGCCCCAGAGGCCCTTGGAGGCACCAACTGGGTCAGAGCGCAAACAGCATTTGTCCTCCATCCTCGATCTTCCACCCTCGCAGCCAGACCTCGAGGGCATCCTCACCCTTGATCCTCGATCATCCCTCCCTCCTTCCTCCCCCCCTCGGGCCTCCTCCAGCGCCCCTGGGCCCGGTGGGAAACGCGGCGGGCTCTCCCGCCGCGCGTGATCCTCGGGCCCCCTCCCCAGGGTTTCCATTCCATGCAGACACACCCCAAACTGCGATATGAAATGGCAGCGAGGTGCTAGCCCCACGGCGGCCTAGACAGGCCCCTCGCTCTCCAGCGTGTCACTGTGCAGCCAAGCAAACTCGAGCGCTTTCTGAACCTCGAAGCGCTTCAGCTCGGCCTCATCGTCGTCCCCGTCGTCGGAGCCGTCCAATTCCCGCTGGGCCTCCCCGTAGATGGCCTCCAGTTGTGAGATTCGATACATGATCATGCCGTGCCTGGCTGCGCGGGTACCATCCAACTTCACGGTGGTCTCGATGCCCTTCGTGGCGTCCTCCAGGAGCTCCCAGAAGTCCACCACGCAAGTTGGCAGAGGAGGTGGCGTAGCAGAGTCGTCGTCCGCCTCCGCAGCCGCCGCCGCCGCCATGAGCTTCCCCTTTGTGCATTGCCTCCACGCAGTGCTCCTCCTCGTGCTCGATCGTGCCCACGAGCGCCTCCTCGGGCCGCCTGCTATGGGGGCCGCCCGCCAGCCACCCCGTGGCGATCTCAGCGCGGGCAGTCCACATCGTCATGCTGGTGCCGCGCTGATTACCGAGCTGTAGCTGATCACGTGTCGGCTCCGCTTCACCGCCAGCTCTTCTCGAAATTGCCACTGCATGCCAGCCACGCCCTGCTTCATCGCGAGCTCATGCGTCGCGATCGTGCCATGATCGCTGAACTCCTTAACCAGCAAGGGGAAAGGCGGCACCGCTGGCAGGGGTCGTGGCCGTCCACCTCCGTCCCGATCTCGCCGTCATGCACCGCGTCGACCCTGGAGGCCCCGGCAGCTTCCGCGGCAGCGACGCCCGCGCCCGCGCGCGGGATGGCCGAATCGGACGGGGACTCGGCCATTTTCCGCGCGGGCGGGGCGCCGCCCTCAGCAGGTCTGCCCGAGCTAGGGATGTTCACCCCGCCTGCGGCGAAGCCAGCCGCCGACAGCGCGGGGCGCGCTGCAAACCTGGGCCCCTTTTGGGCTCGGCGTAGTCAGCACGCCGTCGCCGTCCCCAGCGGCCACGGCGCCAACGCCGCGTGGAGCGCCACGTTCCTCCGCAGCGTGTCGACGGGCGACTCGATGGCCTTGCCGTGCACCATCTTCTTCAGGTGCACCGCCACCACCGCCGGGCGCTCCACCGTGTCGGGATCCCCCAGCGACTCCACCAAGTTCTCGTAGCGGCTCCGCTAGAAGCGCACCGCCTGCTGCAGGTCGTGGACGAGCACGTCCCCCGTCCAAGGGACCCACGCCTGGCCAGCTCGGCGCCTCTGCCGCCGTGGCGCACACGGGGTGGACACATCGCCGCCAGCGGCGGCCTCCCGCGAGGGGGCTGCCTCCCGCGCCATCACAAACCGCACCAGCCGCCCGATGGAAGCTGGCCCAAAGGCTTGAGCCAAAATGGCTACGGATGATGATGCTGATGCTGATGCTGATGCTGATGCTGATGATGATGATGATGCTGATGATGCTGATGATGATGATGATGATGATGATGATGATGCTGATGCTGATGCTGATGCTGATGCTGATGATGATGCTGATGCTGATGCTGATGCTGATGCTGATGCTGATGCTGATGCTGATGCTGATGATGATGATGAGGATGAGATGAGGATGAGGATGATGCTGATGCTGATGCTGATGCTGATGCTGATGATGGTGATGGTGATGGTGATGATGGTGATGGTGATGATGGGTGATGATGATACTGATGATGATACTGATGATGATACTGATGATGATGTGATGATGGTGATGATGTGATGATGATGACGGTGGTGATGGTGATGATAATGGAAAGAACGTGTTCTACCGCTGCTGGCGGAAAAAACGGGGGGGGTCACTACCGGTTCGAACCCCTCCCCCCCCCCCCCTCCGGAAAAGGGGGGGTCACTACCGGTTCGAACCCCTCCCCCCCCCCCCAGTTCATCATGAAAAGGGGGGGGGGTCACTACCGGTTCGAACCCCCCCCCCCCCCTCGAAAACCGAGTGGGGGTGCGGACAGTGGTGGGGACGGTGTTGGTGGGGACAGTGGTGAGGGGACAGCGGGACAGTGGTGGGGACAGTGGGGACAGTGGGACAGTGGGGGACGGTAGTGGTGGGGACAGTGGTGGGGACAATGGTGGGCACAGGGGGGACAGTGGACAGTGGTGGGGACGGTGGCGGTGGGGACAGTGGTGTGGGGACAGTGGGAATGAGGTGGAAACAGTGGGACAGTGGAGGGTACAATGGTGGTGGGGACAGTGGTAAAGGCGGTGGCGAGGACGGCGGTGGGACATTGGGACAGAGGTACAGTGGGGACAGTGGTGGGGACAGTGGGGACAGTGGTGGGAACAGTTGGATTTTCAGTGGGACAGCGGAGGAGTCAGTGGGACAGTGGGGACAGTGGGGATAGGCAGTGGTTGGGTCCGTGGAGACAGTGGGGAGAGTGGAACCGTGGTGGGAACAGTGGTGGGAACAGTGGGGACAGTGCGACAGTGGTGGGAGCACTGGTGGGGACAATAGGGACGGTAGTGGAACCAGTAGGGACAGTGGTGGTGAGGACAGTGGTGCTGGGAACAACAGTGGGGGATGTGATGCGAGCGGTGGTAGGGACCGGGAGTCGTTTGCTGGCGGTGCGTGGGGGGGGGGGGGGTCGAACCGGTAGTGACCCCCCTCCGGTTTTCGGAGGCCGGGCTGTTCTGGGAGTCCCCTCGGCCGCACAGGCCGTATCAAAGTTGCATTTTGGACGGTAAAAAAATCGTTCGACCTCTTGGGAGCGTTGCTGTTGTTCACATATACTTGTGAATCTGTGCTTATACTTCCAATAAGTATACAAGAGGAAGTGTACATGTGGAATGCAATAGGAATTCCTTCCCCCCTCCACCCACCCCCATCCACCCACGCCATCCCTTCCCCACCTCCCTCCCTCCTTCTGCCATACGCATCCAATAATAATACTATAGAAATGCAATGTGAATTCCCCGCACCCTCCCCCTCTCCCCCTCTCCCCCAATAGGAACGCAATAAGAACACACAAATAATTCCTCCAATCCTCTGCCCCTGCTCCAATCGAGCCCTATGTGGTCCTATTGCAGGAGGAAGGAGGGGGAAGAGGGTGGAGGTTGTATCTCCGCCCCCTCGAACGTGCGATTTTGCAACTATCCGATGCGAATTCCTCAATACCTCCTTCCCCCCCTCATCTTATAAGAACACACATTCCTATTGTGTCTCCGACTGTATTCCTCTTGGAGGAGGAGGAGGAGGAAGAGGAGGAGGAGGAGGAGGAGGAGGAGGAGGAGGAGGTGTTAACATGCAAGCGTGCGTGTGACAGGGGAGGAATAGCAACCCCGCTGCCTTTGGCTCAAGTGTTTAACGGTCGAAGCTACATAGACCTGCTTTGCCGTTCGGGAGTATAAAGGTGACCTATCGTTATCATTATCGCCAGGCTCCCGCGCAGAACCCTCCTCGGGGTTTTGCATGGTAGCGGAGCGCGGTTGCCATGGCAGCGGCAGCGGCAGCTGCGGCCAGACCTGGACAGGGCGACCCGCCAGTTAATCTCAATGTGCCGGCAGACAGAGATGCATGGGTCAACATGGACCCGAATCGCTTCAACGACCTGTGCGAGCAAGCATACCTGAACGGAGACTTCAGTTACGTTCAGACGGCGCTACTCGCGAACCATTCCGGACTCGCAACGTTCATTAACGAGCGAGTGACACAGGATCGAAGGGAGGTGTCGAACGCCGAAGCGTTCCAAATGTTACAGAGTGCCCACAAGACCAACAGCATGTTGTTAGCGATCACAAAGTAAAACGCTGCACTCGAAAGGGATGCTCGCAGATTGGTGGAAAGAGTCACCGAGTTGGAGACCAACAGTGAAGTACAAGAAAAGTTGATCGAAAGGTTTGGTCAGATCTCGGAAGCGATTAAAGGAGGAAGCGGAAGCAAGCACGGGGGCAGTAAACCGATAAGCGAATATAAAGCATTACAGGCGCTAAAGAACTTCAGTGGGGAAAGGGCAAAGTTCAGAGACTGGAGCGACAAGTTCTTGAACGCACTAGCCCAAGTGAAGCCGAGTTACCGACCGGCACTGAAAATGCTAAACAAGAAGCTGGAGACGCTTGACGGAGTCGTACCAGAGGAGGACGATGACGACATTATACGCATAATGAACGGCCGATTAACTGCAAGTGAGTACCTGACGGCGAATCAAGCTAAACAGGCCGAGGACGACAACAAAGGCGAATATGAGTTCACCGAGGGAGACAAAACTCAGATGGAGGAAGACTTATGGTACATTCTGAACGAGAAACTTGAAGGTGCGGAAGCCAGAGGAAAATTAAAGGGACTGATGGATGGAGATGGAATCATGGCTTGGCAAAAGGTTTACAAATGGTACTCGGCAGTAACCGGAGCGACCTTATCATCAAAGATGACGCACGCCATGAATCCTGAGCCGCCCAAGAAGATCACCGACACCGTTA